TAATGGAATTTAAACCTTTTCCTTTCTCCCTTTTTTGTTCAGCCCCTTGCAGCTGTTTCCACTCTTCCTTTTTTCTCCATGTGCTTTCAGGGTGAGGGGTGCTTTTCCCTTATTCTCCCCCCATCTCTGTCCTCTTCCAACAAGCAAAAACAGCTCCCTGCCCTCCATGCACACTCCCCCAGTTCACCTTTCCATACCATGTACCTGCTGAGTTCTGTGGTTCAGGTTGTTCAGATTGTTATGTTAATCCTCAAATAAGTTTTCTAGGTATGCAAGATGGTTTAGTGTTGATCTGGCTGCATTTCAGAGTTGAGAGACACAAAAAATGCTTCCATGATGTTCTACCATATTCGCCCCTGCTGTCTCTTCCTCTTAATTTTTAAATTTTTTTTTATGTTTATTCATTTTTGAAAGAGAGAGAGCACAAGCAGGGGTGGGGTAGAGAGAGAGGGGGACACAGAATCCGAAGCAGGCTCCAGGCTCTGAGCTGTCCGCACAGAGCCCAACGTGGGGCTCAAACTCACAAATCATGAGACTATGACCTGAGCCGAAGTCGATGCTCAACTGACTGAGCCACCCAGGCGCCCGTCTTCCTCTTAAAAGGACATCAGTCACAGTGGATTAGGATCCCACCCTGTGACCTCATTTAATCTTGATTTCTTTATTTGGGTGTTTATAACCTTATATTTAACATGACCAATGATAAGGTTAGATTTAAATCTATCTCCTTTTGCTATTTTTCTTTTTGTCCCATCTACCCTTTGTTCCCTCTTTTCCTCTTTTTCAACCACCTCTTATTGAGTATTTTGTTGTTGTTGTTGTTGTTGTTGTTGTTGTTGAAATATATGAGGCATACAATATTACATTAGTTTCATGTGTACAGCATAGTGATTCAACTTTTCTATACCTTATACTCTGTTTACCACAAGTGTAGCTACCATCTGTCACCATAGAACTCTATTATAATACCATTGATTCTATTCCCTATGCTGGACCTTTTATCCTCATAACTTATTCATTCCTTAACTAGAGGCCTCTATCCCTCACTCCCTTCACTCATTTTGCCTATTTGCCCTCCCATCTAACAACCATAAGTTTGTTTTCCTATATTTATGGATCTGTTTCTGCTTTTTGTTTGTTCATTTGTGTGTGTGTGTTTTACATTCCACATATAAGTGAAATCACACAGTATTTGTCTTTCTCAGTCTGACTTATTTCACTTACATAGACCTAGAGGGTATAATGCTATGTTGTCGCAAATGGCAAGATCTCATTCTTTTTTATGGCTGACGAATTTTCGTGTGTGTGTGTGTGTGTGTGTGTGTGTATGCATAAACCATTATTTATACATTCATCTATCGCTGGACACTTGGGTTGTTTCTATATCTTAGCTATTGTAAATAGTGCTGCAATAAACATAGGGGTGCATATATCTTTTCAAATTAGTGCTTTCATTTTCTTTGGGTAAATACCTATTAGTGGAAACACTGGATTATACAGTATTTCTATTTTTATTTTTTTGAGGAAACTCTACTATTTTGCACGGTGGCTGCACAAATTTACATTCCCACCAGTAGGACACCAGAGTTTTCTCCACATTCTTGTCGACACTTATTATTTCTTTTTTTTTTTTTTTTTTTTTTTTGTCTCTAGCCATTCTGACAGGTAATATAAGATAAGGTAATATCTCACTGTTGTGTAGATTTGCATTTCCCTCATAATTACTGTTGTTGAGCATCTTTTCATGTGTCTATTGGCCAGTTACATGTCTTCCTTTGGAAAAATGTCTATTCAGGTCCTTTGTCCATTTTTAATTGGATTATTTATGTGTTTTGGTGTTCTATAAATTCTTTATATGTTTTGGATATTAAACCCTTATTGGATATGTCATTTGCAAATATCTTCTCCCATTCATTATGTTGCCTTTTTGTTTTGTTGATAATTTCCTTTACTGTGCAATAATTTTTTACTTCAGTGTAGTCCTGATCATTTTTGTTTCTGTTTAACTTGCCTGAGGAGACATATCTAGAAAAATGTTGCTAAAACTGATGTCAAAGAAATTACTGCCTATGTTTTCTTCTAGGAGTTTTATGGCTTCAGGTCTCAAATTTAGGT